ACCTATGGCCTCGTGCCATGACTATGCATTTGGAAAACATCACTCTTGTGCTACTGCTTAAACTGCATTAAAAAAGCGATGGCTAAACAATAATCTTTTAATGGTAACAGCTTAATGCATTCAAACGTTGTGAACCTGAAATCAGCAAAAATAAATAAATAAATCAGAAACATCCTTTAATATGACATTGTACAAACAACTCTATTGAGTGGAGTCAATGTTTTGGGGAAGAATTGCTGGTCTAGCAAATGTAGATTCACATTTCAGAAGTTGTTCACATTTTTGAGCATCATGACTCAACAAAGTTGCATGCTGGACCGCGTTGCTCATCAATGTGCCAAAGCATAAACAAAAAATCCTTATGTACTCCCGATGATTTACAAAGATGGTTATGATCGTAATACATGGGGATGGTTCGGGAAATGCTGTATGGATAGCCTTGTCTTTTGGTTGATTGATTTTTCTGACGTTTGAATACAATACAGTCTTATCAAGGCCGAGCGGGCGGCTCTCCTGACAGCTTTCTGCTTGTTGGTGCATTTGCCTCAAAGAAAGTAATTTAGTAACATCAGACCGAAACAGACTTGTTTACACTATCTTCTCTCCTCCTTTCACGGGGAGTCCATATACCATTTGTGAGGCGCATTAACGCCCGCCAAGTGCACAATCACTTGGAAATTGAGGCAACTGCTCTAGAATAATGGCTGAGCTTGACTGAGGGCTGTATAATAAATGACTGAGTCTCGTGGCACTTTTCAGTGGACATCCACACAGTCGCCATTAGTTTCCTAAGTGCACTTTTCCCCGCACTTCTAAATTGATTGAAACAAAATGTCACAATTATGCCCTGTAGCTCAAGCTTTAATTATTCATCAATTAGCGTTTTCTCCCCCCCTTCTTTTTTCTGAACTGATTTTTCATTCAGTTTGCAGAGATGTATGGTTCCCCTGCTGTTAACCAGTCCAAAGTCATTAGTTTCTGGCTTTGCAATTAAACCTGCTGCATTATTCATCAGGCCCAACTCGGTAGACTCTGCTCTGAGCTCAGGAGGCCTGCAAGAGAAATTAATTTGGAGAGATGAAGTTTCCTCTCAGGTTAGAACAGATGCCATTGGCCCAAACAGAGGGTAGGTATGGAGTGCTTTCATTGAAGGGAATTATAATGGCAAGCGTAAAGCCAGACTATAGAAAGGGGGAAAATGTGAATGGAAAAAATATCAAAATTGGGCATAGCCTGTGGCAGGTGCTTCAGATTACTTAAAAATGACTTTTAAAATCAACTCAGGAGGAAATGTATAATGACTACATATAATAGAGGTCATATTGTGCACTTAAAAATGATTCAAATAAATCATTTTATTTCACTGTAACAAAAATCTGTTTTAATTTTTTCAAAGGTAAAGCATTAATGATAGCGATGTGCATGACATTTGAGTTTAATATATAAGCATACTGCATTATTGTTAGATTCATGCAAAAAAAAAAAAAAAAGATTCACTTCTGCAGATATCAATCTGACAGCCAGATCAAATATAGTCAGTGATCAAATGTTGCCATCTGCTGGTGTATCGCAAAAACATCAACTATTCATTCTTTATAATAAACAGAGACTTAAAAAATGATCATGATCAGTCAGGGGGTAATAAGATGCATTTTTAATTTATAATCGTACAAGCCCATAGTACTGATGGTCATCTCTGTTGAAGCAGTCGTAGGAACACAGCAGAACTCTGACTGGAACAGACTGAGAGCTTTTCATTCCCATGTGCTGTTCAAAGACAAAAGAACAGACTCCGATTACTAAAGAAGAGTCTAATATTCTCTTGTACTTTTATTGCCATGCAATGTGGATCATACAGAAAAAAAAGTAGTAATATATTGGCATTGTTGTTTTGGCTCATATTTACTAATCAGGGGCTTTAAGTTAAATTGTGACCCTGTTAATATTTGTTGATTCAAATAACAAATGTTATGGCATAATAAACACCTATTATGCAAGCGTTATTCCGCAGGTTGTCAAACCATTAAACTTTCATCAAACATCCTGAGCAAAGCGCGGCCTGCCAATTTTCAACTTCAGCACTACTTGTGTGCATCGACTGCCACAGGCACTGAATGCTGAACACTGGTGTTATGCAGAATGAGCTGGTACCTTCCTGGTGTTGATGAACTGCACACACTCCAGCCAGGTGGTGAGGAAGGGCTGTGAGCACAAAGCACACTGGCCCCAGTGAGACAGCATGTCCTGCAGCTCTGGGTATGCTGGCAGAGCTCTGGACACCACTGACAACTTATTAGTGCTCTGCTGGAGGATCAGCCTGGCTGAGAGCTCCTGAACACATTAAACTACAGTCAGCAGCGCCATGGAAAAGTTATAGTTAAAACTAACCATTTCTAATGACTTCGAATTTTTTTCCCACTACGAACATCCTCTAGTGGAATACTAGCAAGACAACAATCAGATTTGTTCAACAATGTGCAAAAAATAATTAATGATTGTAATAAATGAATTAATAACTCAAATAAATATATATAATGCAATATGTACAGTATATATGTAAAAAGTAACCTTTAATGAGAAGACTTCTTTCTCTTGAATGGACTCCATCAGTGTGAATGGAACTAAACTGTTTCCTTCAAAGAACAGTTCCTCCAATGTAAGAAACTGAAACTAAAAATTAAAGAGAAAGAACATTTTTAAAATATTATAAAAAAAATATTTTATATAGTATATGAGTTAGTGAACAAAAGTTAACATTAATCCTATAAAGCCTTTTGATACGCAAATTTCTAAGGCATATAAATTACCAAAATTATCAAAACTTTGCTGAAAAATCTACTATATGATGCCTGCTATCACCTGGTTGATAAGTTTATTCTTTTTAGCATGTTTTATATTGTTAGTGCTATTTCAAGGTGAACACTTGGCTGAAGAAACTTGATTATTTTTACTTTTTACTTTACTTTGCACATATAATTAAAAGTACAGATCTAAATATAGAGTGACAACTGATATTTCAATGTATTTTATGCGAGTAGTCTGCTATGCTGTTAAACAATCTCATAAAAGTGTAATGTATCAAATATGATACTCAAATAAAAAAAAGCTTCTTCATTTATTTTTGTTTTCATTAATATCGTTTATTTTCCTATGTCAGTCTTCACGTGATTACAATTAATCACAGCTTTTTAAGTGGGCTGAAGTCCCACTAATTAACATTTAGAACCAGCTATATATTATATATATTTCAGTATAATCATCTTATTTAATAAATAAATACAAATACATTGACACAATTATTAGTAAATAACTAAAACATTTAAATAAACAGCTGAAATGGCTGGCAATTTGTCCAACTAACTTACACCAACTGGAAACACAGATAAACAGTTTCCAGCAACATCCAAGATCTTCACATTTTTCCATCCAAGAGTGCCCTAAGCAAAGAACAAACACTTAATAAACTAATATGCATAAAAATTGAGTAAAGTATGATGATAGTAGTCTGTCTTGCCTCTGGTAGTTCTGTCAGGTTGTTTCGGGCCAAGTACAATTTCCTCAGCTGTGGTAAACTGTATAACTGCTGTGGTATTTGAGTCAGTTTATTATTAGTGAAGTTAATCTCAGTCAAACTCTTCAGCAAGCCCAGTTCAGATGGAATCTGCTGCAAATGATTGTCTGTGACACTGATGCTTTTTAGACTACACAGCCTGCAAATCAATTAAAACATTTAAAAAATCAGATAACATGCTAGTCAAATAGCATCAACAGACTTTAGTCATCTCACCTCTTTATTTCTGCAGGAATGACCTTGATTCTATTGTGGTTCAAATTTAGAAGCTCAAGGTTTGGTAGACCTTCTGCAAATACAATACAATACAATACAATACTACTGACCCACTTCAATAAAATAAACCTGAATAAGAAAGAGTTTGATCTTACCCAGCACCTCTGGTGGCAAATGGCTGATTTTGTTTCCATATAAATAAAGTTTATTTAGACAACTGAGGTGTTTTAACACAGGTGGGATCTCCTCAAGAACGTTATTTCCCAGATTGAGCTCTGTCAACTATAAATATAACATGAAAACGACTTTTAAAGTATTTGTCGTGCGGTTTCTTGTTTCCAGTGTTTTATTGTTGGTCAAACTTGTTTACTTCTGGTTCATATGCTATTTTGGGCTTTATCATAGAATAACTATATTAGTATAAAAAGTATAAAACAAAGCTATGATACAGATAAAACGAACTCACCTTCTGCAAACACACCAGTTCAGACGGCAGACTCGACAGATAATTATTATTCAACTTTAATACAACAATCCATGTCAGCCTCCCAAAAGATTCTGGAATATGTGTAATTTTCCTAGAGCTCAAATTGAGTGACTTTGATTTCGTTTTTAATGCTTTGATAATTGAATTGTTTTCCATTTGACGCTTCATATCACTTGCATCGCCAACTTGAACTTTTCTCATGTTTCCATAGAGATGCAACGCGAATTCTGTCGTAGTGTTGACTGGCGCCGCCTGGCGGACTAACATGAGAATAACATGCAACATTGTAGCCTCAATACTGACTAAAGATGATTGACAACTTTCCTCGATTAGTGTACAAAATAGGAACTGAAGCGTTATTAAAATGTATTTTATGTTTTAAATTATTTTGTTTACATTATTTTATAATGGGAAAATCATGTAGTAACAGGTTTGCATAAATACAGCTAAACATTACATTTTTGGCCATTTAAAATTAATATTTGCCCTTATACAACAATGATTTGAATATCCATTGAATAGACTGTGTCAAAATTATGAAGTGATATGATTTTAATTGTTGTTTAGTCTAACCTCTGATGTGTTTTTTCTGCTTTTTAAAGTGGATGACTATTTAATGTTATTTACCACAGACGTTTATCATTGATATAAAGTTATCTTTATTTAACGGCGTAAGCGTGACCATGATCCAGCACCTCTTAGAGCAAATTACTTGCTGATATGCAGTTTTCCAAAAATAACACAGAGCACATAGCAGTTTATTCATAAATAACACAGGCAAGCATGGACTGTTACATGACGCTTGTCCACTGCAATTGAAGTCACCAGCATGTTTTATTTCATCATCCTCTGTGAGCATCCTGACCGAATCCACTGATCCTAGCAAAACGGAATCAAATTCCAGAAGGTGCACTTCTACAGGCTAATTATGCACAGATGCATATATTAATGTGTGTCAGTGATGGGTCAGCCCTCTTCCTCATTTGCCAAGTCTTTTAGAGGCTCCACAGAATTGTAGTGTTCACCAAGTCCATACGCATGCCGCATATAACTGAAAGAGACAGTAAAACGCGTTTTAGTACAGCAGTACAGAAACCTTTTGTACCAAATCTTATTTTTAAATAAATAAACATTCTCAGTTATTTACACGAGTGTGATTGGTGGCTTGTCATATTCTTCACCAATAATAATAGAGGAGGATTCTGCCTGAATGACTTCTATCGGTAGCTGGAGGACCTGTGAAAGGGCTTTTAACTGTCATGGAGAAAATATGAAAAGCATCGATATTAAAAAATAGGCAAATGGTGGATTATGACTTTTAATGTGCCATTTACAACGGCATATTGTCTGGTATTCTTACCTCTAACTGTCCGCCCCAAGCAGCTGTGTCTGCAACATCATTGCAGTATTTCTCAAACTCATCTAAAGTAAAAACGAATCCAGAATCCATCCATATCATGAAACAACAAGCATTCAGCTTAATGAAATACTTCTGCACATATCCATTCAAAACTTTGGGGTCAGGAAGATCAGAGAAGTGAGAGTAAAGACATTTATAATGATACAAAAGATCAAACACTGTTCTTTTGAACGTTCTATTCATTAAAGAATCCTGAGAAAAATTATTTCACAGTTTCCACGATAATATTAATCTGCACAACTGTTTTCAACATTTAAATAATAAAAAATATTTCTTAAGTAGCAAATCAGCATATTAGAATGATTTCTGAAGGATCATGTGACACTGAAACTGGAGTAATGACTGCTAAAAATTCAGCTTTACCTTCACAGGAATAAATTACATTGTAAAATATATTAAAGGTGACATATCATGAAAACTGACTGTTTTTGTAACTCATGTGTGTTTTTAACGTAAACTCGTGTGTGAATGAGAACTTAGTTTAGCACTCACATGCTGTGAAAGCCGCTTTCTGTCCGTGTGCTCTCAGAAAACCGTATATCAGAAGTTTAAACTCATATGGTTTAAAACGCATGATTTCAGCGCGATAAACATGATAATCAGAACCAAAAAGGTGTTTTTAGCAGGTCCAAGCTGTAATTGCGCAGCTCTATTCTGGAAAAGGGGGCGGGGAGCAGCAGCTCATTTGCATTTAAAGAGGCAGGCCCGAAAAACAGCGTAAATACTTCTGCACATATCCATTCAAAACTTTGGGGTCAGGAAGATCAGAAAAGTGAGAGTAAAGACATTTATAATGATACAAAAGATCAAACACTGTTCTTTTGAACGTTCTATTCATTAAAGAATCCTGAGAAAAATTATTTCACAGTTTCCACGATAATATTAATCTGCACAACTGTTTTCAACATTTAAATAATAAAAAATATTTCTTAAGTAGCAAATCAGCATATTAGAATGATTTCTGAAGGATCATGTGACACTGAAACTGGAGTAATGACTGCTAAAAATTCAGCTTTACCTTCACAGGAATAAATTACATTGTTTACATATTGTAAAAAGGGGCATAATATGTCTCCTTTAAAATAAAAACCAGTTATCTGAAATTGTAATAATATATAATTTTTTACTGTATTTCGAACATATTCAGAAGTGTATGGCAGAGAGTTTGGCATTCACCTGCAGTGTACATGTCTCCTGAATTGGGGTCAGTGAGGAACGGCAGGAAGTCATCTGCATGGCTCCTCGTGTACTGAGCTGTTTGAGCCCGAAGCTCTTTAAGGCTGAGAGGGGTGCCTCGCTCCGTCAGCTGATCCTCCACGGCGCGGTACATGCAGTGACCGTCAGAGGAGATCTCTCTGATCAGCAGGTGCCTCTCCATCAGCTTCTGTCTCAGCTTCAGACCCTCCTGATGACGGGAGCCTGTGAGATTCTCCACTTCTGCCTCAGCAATCCGGCTATCCCGCTCCTTCTCAAGAGCAGCCTTTTTGTCCTAAATACACCAAGAATTTTTAGCATCCTTAAAAGAGACTTTAAACTACAGCCACCAAAATTGAAAAGAACTTACCCGTCTCTTCTGGGCTTTAGATGTCCGAGTTTGCTTGCTTGAATCCGTTTTTTCCTCATCATTTGCCAAACTGACGGAATCCATTGCATTTGAAACCTCCTCCACCTTGGAACAATCCATGATTGTATAAGTGAGCTGCACTCATATGTATCTACTTGACAGTTTCTAGGTAGTGTTTTAACGTCTAAAAACATCATAGTTTGACTTACTGAGGAAGAGTTCTGAAGTTGTTTGAGCTCATTTTCATGTGTTTGAGTGAGTTCAGCCTCTAGTTTGGCGATGTCTTCAGTCAGCTGTTTCCTCCTCTTCTTGTCATTTTTGGGAACAGCATTTTTCATAATTTGTATTTTTGCTACGACACAAAAAAGACATCTATATTTAGTATGCACTATACACATATTTGTTTCGTTTATATAATCCTAGTCTCATACATATTTATATATTTATTTTAATTTAAAGGTAGTGACATGTTGTCTTACCTTGCAGGTCTTTCTTTTCCTTGCGATGCTGTTTGGCTAACAGCTCCTCTGCTGTCTCCACTTCCTCCATGTCAAAATTAACGAAATATTCAGAGCAATAAAATGTTTGCTAAAATGGACCTAAACGATAAACATATTATTCATTTCCATCAGTTGGAGTTATTGCTCTGCAAGGACTGAATTGCGGTTTCAGCTCATAGAAATCAACTGATTCTCAGTTCGATTGATCTATTCTGCAAGTCCAGCGCATGGATTCAATGGGAACACAGAAACTGAACACATCCGGGAATACAACATTTCAAAATAAAAGTCATAGATACATAGACTGTTTTTCTCTGTGTATTTTAATGGAATGGTATAAAGTGACATAATAAATAAACAGTACATTTTAAACCAGTAATTTACGTAGCGCCTTACAACCATATCTTATTTTCGCCCCGAATTATTTTGAAATAGTTGTCAAGTGGCAAGAGTGTTGCCATGACCGCTTATTATAGGAAACTGGCGCTTCTTTATTCTTAAATTAACTTATAAAAATAGATAGTCGTGGGTCGCTGTTTTTGGGGCTCAATTCCAGGATACAAACGTATTTTTTCAGCTTGCTAGTGTTGGTCCCCTAGCACAATAAAATTAACAACTAGTAGCAGTTATATCTCCACCCGCTGTATCGAGCTGAACCATTAGTCATTTTTAAGTCTGTACAAGCTCGTCCTCTAGGTTCAAACGACGCGTAAAAAAAACTATAAATAACATATTAAAAATTGGGTTGCACATTTTGTTGTGGATGGTCGCCTGATTTTGGGGTTTGATTAATTATTCTGTGTTGCTTATTTTCCAAGTGAAATCTGGCAACAGGGCGAGAGACGGCGCTAGTCGAAAATGTTCGTTCTAACAGCGACTGATCGACACACTCAATGTGATTATAATGTCTGACGTGCAATTCAGATGGACAGTTTTAGCATACTGGCTTTAATACCACAGATTCATTTAAAATAAAGGATCATTTGTAGTAGAAGCGAGGTAGCTGCAGCCTCGCAGGAAATGTTGGGAAGCCAAGGGATACAACCTGTCACGCTAGTCTTCAATAACTCCAAGAACTGCTTTCTTCAGCTGTCATCAAACTTCGCCACTCATCTCTGTCTTCATGAGGTTTGTATTCAGCTAGCTGCTGCCAGTTAACTTACTAGTCTACCACTGTACTGTGTGATTCTCTTCCATCAAATTCAAAGTGCTGAAAGTTTTGAGTCATGCAACACTAATGTGATGCCAGAACCAGATCCTGGAGCTGTCATGGGGTGTTTCTGCACCCGTGTTCCTCAGCTGGATCAGGTCCAGGTCTTCAGGTCCAGAGGACAGAGTTGAGATCTGCAGACAGCTGGGAGAGAAACTTGGGCTCAAGGAGGGAGAACAGGTTTGTCACTGTAATCAATTCAAATCAATGGAAACCACAACTGTTTTGTTACCAACATTCTTCAGAATATCTTCTTTCATCTCAAGATTACTTAAAAAGATTTAAACAAGACAAAACATCCATTCAAATGAACAAATCAACTACACATGAAGATTTTAACTTGTTTTAGTTTAGTTTTTGTCTTGAAAAACCTGGATTTATGAGGATGGCTAATTTTAAAAGTGTGGCAAAAAGGTTGAGGACCATTGAAGCAGATGCATGTAATGTGTTGTAGGGGTATCTGCGGCCGTGTCATCAGGTGCAGTCAGTGCAGCAGGTGTTCGTAGAGCCTCTGTCTCCAGATGACTGGGAGATCCTGGTGAGTTCACCATGGCATCATTTACCTCAGTCTTCAGTCTCTAGGAGATGTTTAGCTGATATATGTCCTTTAAAATTGGTGTATGCAAATTTCCAATGTTGTTATATTTTTCTTATTTTTCATATAAATTTATACAGTATATTTATTATGAGTTATTCTTTATTATTCTTTTATTATTACTCCACATTATATTCATATTACTGTTTTATGTTACTCATATACTCAAGTATTATACATTTATTCTCTTTTATTGTTTTCGATTCCATTTATACTCATATTCCATTGACATAGTAAACCATCTACATGTAAAGGTACATCTTATGCTTATAAAGTGTTTATTGGATGATGGAAAATAATTTTCAGCAAAAAAAAATTTATATATATATATATATATATATTAGCGCTGGGCGATATGGCAAAAAAATAAAATCTCGCTTTTTTTTCAGAACGTTTGACCGATTCTTGATTTTTAACAAGTCCACTTGAAAATGTAACTACAACACGATTCAAATAACTTTTTCTTTATTAACCCTTTAGTTAAAGAATATTCTACTCCAAGTGCACCACACATGGAGTTGTCAACATGATGTAAATGTTAAATAAATCACTTGTTAAATATCTTTAAATATAAAAAGATTGCATGAATGACCTTGCATTCATTTCTGGCTCCATTCTGATATGTAACACCCACTTTTCATGATCCGATCAATTCAAACCTGGATACAAAGTCCCTTCCTACATTTTTTCCTCACTGATCCTGTTTTATTTGGGAATACATCAGATTACAGAAGTAAAATGGGTTGTCTTTTCGGTCTAATATCTGATTGAACTTTGTTCCAGGAGCTGCACAGCATGGCTCTGGAGCAGCGACTCCTGGATCAAATCCGAGTGGTCTTCAGTGAGGGTGTTTTTCCTGTGTGGGTGGACCAGCACACTGTCATCTATATCAGGATAGGTCAGTCAGCCCTATTTTTTTAAAGGCATGTCAGACAGAAGTTGTTGTTGGGTATGAACTAATCTTTTTACACTAATGATTCGTCTAATATCTGATTGAACTTTGTTCCAGGAGCTGCACAGCATGGCTCTGGAGCAGCGACTCTTGGATCAAATCCGAGTGGTCTTCAGTGAGGGTGTTTTTCCTGTGTGGGTGGACCAGCACACTGTCATCTATATCAGGATAGGTCAGTCAGCCCTATTTTTTTAAAGGCATGTCAGACAGGAGTTGTTGTTGGGTATGAACTAATCTTTTTACACTAATGATTCTATGTTTTTTAGCATCCCTCTCTCCATCTGTCCCATTCGGCCGACTGGAGCAGTTCACTGAGCTTGTTGTCTCCCCAAAACTACATCCAGGAGGTGAACAATTGCTCCACACTCGATCAGAAGAGCCAAGCCAATATCTACAACACCAGAGCACTGATGTCACGTCTTCCCCCAGCTCAGTCGTCCATCAGGATCCCCTCAGTGATCATCTGGAGAGTCAGAATGAAGGCCACTGGGGAGGAATAGATGATCTGAAAAGCCTGGTTAGATACCTGTTTACAAGAGGATTTGAGCCTGCAAAAGAGAATGTCGCAGTTCCCACAATTCCCACCATCCTGAAAGACTGTATCCTCCGGACCTGTGGAACCCCTCCTAGGTCTGTCAGCCATCTAGGCTCATGTCACGGAGATGTCCATATACTGCCATGGAACCTGCAAGAGAACCGGAATCCAGGGCAGTCTGCACTAACATACGGCAGGCTTTCAAAGATCCTTTCTCCTCAAGAACTCAGGGAGAAAGTCAAGCAGGCCATGGAGAAGAAGAAGATCAGAGATGGACCTCACAAATGGAACGACACAGAGGAACATAAGGAGAACGTTGTTGTGGTCAGAATGCTTTGTCACAACATAAAAAGGCTGCAGGAGGACCAGAAATTCAATAAATGTGAAGACATTTACTCTGGTAGAGTTTGGGTAAGTTATTCCATTCAAGGTCTGTTATAATGTTTCATAGAAATATTCTTTATCACCATAATTTCTAGGGATGGGACCTTTTCACTTTGGACAGTAGAGACTACCTAATAATCAACCGGAACACCATAGTAATTGTATAACAATGTGACAAAAACACCTTAGCAACCATCTGGCAATGCCCCGTTAAAAGCATTAATAGCATTATATTATATATATTATTTAAGCATTATAAAAGCGTTAAAATTATTTTTAATGTATTTATATTATTATTTCAAAATATTAAATATTTAAAAATAGGTTGGCACCGATGGCCTCATGGGCAGTGGACTGACTTCGGGCGTCCCGAGTTTGAGTTCCAGCTCGCGGACCTTTCCCGATCCCGTACCCTCTCCCTCACCCACTTCGCTTCCTGTCGACCTACACTGTCCTATCTAAATAAAGGCATAAAACACCAAAAATAAATCTTTAAAAAAAAATTTGAAATAGGAACTCTCCCAATTTCAGTAGTCTGATCATTTTTACATTAGTTTTAGATTACAGTTGTCTAACTTTTTCTTACCTTATATGTGAACTTTAGCAAATCTATGAATATCCATATGCAGACAGAGATGCACAAAATCAATACCAAATTGGTTATCATCCTATATTTTTTCCCATTTATTTGTACCAGTTGTATATAAATCTCTAAAACGTTTACATTAAATTATTGAACATAAATGATATCTGCAATACATTTATGTTGGTTCTGTTCTGTTTACCCTGAGGGGGTTATTGTTGCTCTCTCTATGAATATCCATATGCAGACAGAGATGCACAAAATCAATACCAAATTGGTTATCATCCTATATTTTTTCCCATTTATTTGTACCAGTTGTATATAAATCTCTAAAACGTTTACATTAAATTATTGAACATAAATGATATCTGCAATACATTTATGTTGGTTCTGTTCTGTTTACCCTAAGGGGGTTATTGTTGCTCTCCCTGCTCTCATCCATGCTAGGCTGCATGGATGCGCAGGGAGTTCTTGCCCAGAACAGAACCATACCACCAGTCCAAACTGTATGCTAATTGTCATTCATCTTTGATGATAGTGGTCTTGAAAGAACCTATGTATATATGTACAACTGGTACAAATAAATGGGGGGGGATCTAATATAGGCTAATTTCTTATTGATTTTGTGTATCTCTAGTAAAAAATCTAGTTACCTTTTTTGTTGTTGTTGCAGATCCCAAAGGTACTGCAGAGGCGTTTGAGGATAGACCCTCGATCGGCTGTGAGGATTCAGCCTTTGAAATCAATGCCAAGAGTTGCAGAAGCAGTCATGGTGCAGCCATTAAAACCGTTGGTATGTTTTTCTTTCAGACTTAATGCTTTAGGTTGTCAGATAATGAAAATATTGTATTGTAAACTTATTTCCTTTCTATTTGCAGGCAGAGGGTGAAAAAGAAGAAGATATTCAGACTGCATTCCTCAACTGGTTACATGCTCAGAGCCATCAGCCTTTGACCTGTCTGACAGGCCGCACTAACGTAATTCTCTTAC